GCAAAATTGGATGGAATAAATAGCCATTATTATAGAATATAGATAAAAATGGGGTTGTATTCATTGACGTATATACATATAAATATTGGTCGAGACTTGTATGTACTGTCATTCAAAATGGAAATTTCTGATTGGGTTTGGAGCCGAGATTATTGCGAGATGCCTGGATATTACCAAGCAAAAGCCGGAATTCATGTGATTTTCTCAATGAATCTCGCTTAAACTCTGAATATTCTCATGTCTATTACTGCTTTTCTTAATAAATGTAATATGAAACCAAAATACTGATCTCATTTAGTACAGTCCATACATGTATTTACTTTTACATGTTTGGCAGTAGGTTAAATGTGGCATCAATGCACTAAAAAGATAGAGCTGAGAAGATTTTAGTCAAAGAACATTTTCTTGAGATACTGTTACTATAGAAACTATAAGCCTTTCTTCATATCATCTTTTTGTCTCTATCTAGTATACTAACTGATGGGTTTCTTTCCATGTATACAAATCAGTGATCTCCCTTGTATTCAAGTACCCACTTGAGATTTTGAAAATAATCTTATACCTACCATTTTGACCAATAAACTTTTCATAGTTTCACTCATTTGAAAGATCTACTCACTCTTGGTATATGAGTAGAGCTATTGCCCCGAACCGGTCCGTCTTCTCGCTGCAAGCAGGATGAAATTCTTTGTCACAAAGTTTGGCATTTTTTATAAAATCAAACGTGCGTCATTGAAACTCACAAGATGTAAATATCATGTCATTTACATCATACCTTGATGGGGAAAATAGATCTTATATGTTAGAAGTACTAAATAAAAGTTATCGTGAAAATGAGACAGTCGTTCTCGAGAGAAAAGAGCATAAATGCGCATTTAGAGAGTTTTGGTCCGTTTAAAAATCTGTAAAAAATTGGGGTACTTAAAAGCATCGGGAGGCATCATATATTTCAAATTAGACACAAGGAAGTCAATATTGAGCAAGTTATGGCTATTTTAAATTCAAATAAAACCGCTAACCCGTACTGGTCCAGCTTTTGACCCGTACCGATCAATTTTCGTTAGCTGCGTATATCAAGGGTGTTTAGGTAAGGTTTGTTTTAAAGTCCAAAAGCCCCAATAAGACAATACAAACCCAGATAAAACCCGGAAGACTGCGGATTTCATGTAATGATTTACATTCATGTAAACAAGTAAAGTATATAATCCCCATATAAAACACTGGCCTACGTGACATGTAATAACATTACATGTTCAAATTGAAATATAGAAAATTTTCAACATAGCATTTGCTTCCATGTCCTGTATGCCCCTCTACTTGCTTAATAAGGCAATGTATCTTGAAATAAAACCTTAGCCAAGTAGATTAGAGTAACACTTTTGTAAATACTTATCCCATCGAACGAAGTTTGGAGGGATATAGGGGACGCCTCCGTCCGTCCATCCATCCGTCCGTCCTCCGTACGTACGTCCATCAGTCCATACGTACGTCTATCCGTCCGTCTGTCCGTCCGTCCCGGCAATAACTCAGATACCTTTGGCCCGATTTTGTTCATATTTTGTACACATATACACTATAGGGGTAGAAGTTCTGCTCGAAAGTCGATTTTCAAATGGCTGCTCATTTAAAAATGGCAGCCATTTTAGTGCAGATTTTACAGTAATTTAGGTGCAATATGTAAAACTGTAATAGCAATATGTTTTAAATGTAAAAAAATTATATAGGACATTAATAAAGCTAGAAATGTAGATATTAAAGAAGCACATGGCAACCATCTTGAAAAATGGCGGCCTTTACTCGTTATTTTACGATTTTTGTTATAACTCGAAAAGTAGTGGAGTGATTTTGTTCATATTTGGTATGTGAATACTATAAGCATGGCACACTGTCTAATGACACTTTTGGTAGAAGGTGGCCATTTTGAAAAATTGCTGCCATTTTTGCTCTATACTTTGTCAAAATGCCAGCCATGGCTCTTCGATGGGATTTGTTACGTTTTGTCGTTGCTGTTGTCTAGTTTTCACAAGCAATTTTGTTTGTGAATCTCAAATTTTGTCTGCCCGATTTCAGTCATGAATTACATCAATTTCATGTGTAAACTTTGGGTAGACGTTGTTATTCCCGGACGCCCATACGTGTCAGGAACACAAAGATGCTTGAATGATCTTGATTAGACATCAGGCTGCAGAGAAACCGTAATATTACTGAGTGGCTTCACGAACAAAACAAAAAGGCTATTCGCCTCGTTAATGTAATATCTAGTTTTTAATATTGATTCATTGATCATATATAATATCAACACATGTCACATATATATATCCCTGATTTAAGAATTGGAGCACTATAACATGATTATATAGTATTAACAATAGATACTGTCAATCAGTCAATAGAGCGATCAAATATGAATATTAATCCAGTATTGATCTTTCACCAAGGCTATTTCTGGACCCCTCCTCCTTCTCTCTCAGGCCTACCAAGAAAAGTAATGATCAGTAAGGCACAACGTCTTGATGCAATAATGTCAAGTATGGCTGGATTCTGAAATGTGTTGAGTATAGTAAAACTTGTCTGAACAACACATCCTCCTAAGCAGGTATAATCGGGGAAATGCTAACTGCTTATCGCAGGAGATAAAAAGAAAGAATATATTCTGAATTTTGAAGCCCTTTGATCGGAGGATGGAACAACAAAACATGAATACAACTGTTAGATTTTAAACAGATTTCACTGGTAGATCCAGGGGACCCAGAAAAGAAATTTTGTTTGGCCCCAAAATGTTTGTAGGGCCTGAATTAGTAGGCCCTTTTAGGCATTACTTGGCCTTTTAAGCTAAATTTTCATAAATGAGCCTCAAATTTTCAAAATTTAGGACCAATTTTTGGATTTTTCTTCAAGCGCAGAATTTTTTTCCAGATATAAAAAGTTAGGCCCTCCATGTAACCGTCTGGATCCGTCGGTAGATTTATTATTTAAAAGCAAAGAGATACACAGAAGCCCTCTGACAATGTATTATACTCATGGTCCTATCAAATATGAGAAATGAGGCATTCAAGCATTTATTTTTTACATATCCTATGCCTTTATCTATGTAAAAAGATTCAAGAGGTTTTAGGAAAATGAATAAAATGTTATGAATTGTTTTTTTTTTGTTTCTACCCTATGGGATTGTTTTTAAGCTATTTATATGTTTGGCATGTGTAAAATGCATTATTATTGTTATATAATATGACATAGATTATCTAATATGATGCAGGCATGCCACAAGGTTTGCATTTACAAACTGTAAACAACTTTTAAGGGGTGGGACATCAGGAGGAAGAGCCTTCACCAAAATATCTTTTCAACAACAATTAAAACACATTTAACTGTTAGTATTACTAACATTAAGAAGAACTATCATCAGTTTTTTTGTATAATAAAAAAGGAAAATTGCTAGAGATATTATAACATAGAAGAATACTGAATTGTTATGAAGCATATCAGACTCCACAGTATTTGTATTTGAGAAAAATACATAAACTGGGTACCATCAAGGAATTGGAAGTCAGAAACCTTTTAGAAATGTATATTGGGATTAAAATAGGAAGATAATCTTAATTGTAGTATTTTGAAAAGTATACTAATAGGATATCTCTGATCGCACATGGGGGAGGAGCAGTCGCAATACCGCGAAAAATCCGAGGTCTGAAAAGTTCCTGGTGAGAACCCTGGGGAGATCACTGCAGCATATAGTAATTATAATTGCCCCATCGAAGGAAGTTCGTGGGAACCCTACGTCCGTCTGTCCCTACGTCCGTCCAGGCAATAACTCAAATACCGTTGGCCTGATTTTGTTCATATTTTGTCCACATATACCATATGGAGGTAGAGGTTCTGCTAGAAAGCCGATTTTCAACATTAAAATAAGATGTCAATAAAGCTTGTTTATTCAGCCCCATGATGTTGTTCTTCTAAAAAAGGAGTAGAATCCTTATAAACTAATGGTCCACCTATAATATTATGTTTAAAAATGAAATCAAAGGTACAGTCATGGCACATGCCATCATGCTGGTAAATTAAAAATCAACACTTTATTAAAAAGGTGAGACTCACTTAAGTCTCGACAAACACATAAATTATGCATTTTAAGATGTATTTTATAAAACTGTCAAATATAAATTAAACCTATACCTCTCTCCAAAACGCAATATGTGAACATAAATTATTTTTCCATTTTCCTACGACTGAAGAGATAATAAATGCTTAAATATAAATTTGACGTAGATATAAACGTTTTTTAAGCGTCAAATCAAAGCATAACCATTAACTTAAAAAATAAAAGAAGACGATGCTGGGATTCGAACCCCGGACCTTCAAAGTGACAGGCGAGCACTCTGCCTCTGTACTAACCAGGCTGCACGTGGGAGCAATTCTTTTATAAATTCACAGTCAATCCCTGAAAATTAATAGAATTTGAGTAATTGTAACACAAGCAAACTAACTACACTACTACTAAATGTTACAGCCTGCTCATTGTGGTTAGATATGCCCCTAATACTTCTTAGTTTCCCAGGATCAATAGCAGAAGTAGATCCGAGACCCAAAATCAAATTACAGCCTACATTCCTTTGTAAGAGTTTGAGTTTTTGTCATTAAAACGATCTTTGTACAAGTCAATAAATTTCAGGGGAAGGACCCACCTAACAAAGAAATCTTTCACTCTGCTATTTACATGCCATTTGTGTACTATGATAACTAGTGATCTCCCTGGGTACAGCAGTACACCATGTTGAAAATTACAAAATGTCAAAACGATACAATATTGCACTGATACTCATCACATCTTTCTGTTTCTCATCTCAAGAGTGGGGAGAAATGGGGTGTCATGGTTTATCATGATGGAACTATTGAAGAACTTTGACCAAAGTAGATGAAATTAGGATGTAACACTCTGGGAAAACTTTGGGAAATCTCTTATAACAACACTAATATGATAATATAAAAATTCTATGTTGCAGGTTCTTATACAAGTACTTTAGAAGTAGGACTATCTTTTACCTCAGAGCCTCAGGATGTTATTGCAACCAAGGGGCAGCCCTTGGCGCTAAACTGTGCCGCAGAGTCGGCCGAAGCATATATACCTCTATATATAGCATGGACAAAAAATGGTGATCTAATCAATGACACCAATAGTATTCTTAGGAATGGATCTTTGTACTTCAAAAAAGTGGTGCATAGAAGGTCACGTGGTCGTAGTGACGAAGGCATTTACCAGTGTATTGCCCAGAATCGGGCTGGTGCAATTCTCAGCAGACCAGCACGCTTGCAAGTAGCTGGTAAGTACATGTAAAATTTATTAAATTGATTACAAGTGTAAGAAAACAGGAACTTTTTTATACATTATTTTGTCAAGGGAAAATTGACAGGTGACAAATTTGTCCACCACTGTTTTTCACAGTAATGTCCATTTCATCCATGGTTTTACAATCAATAAATACTCAACCCCAATGAAAAAGCTCTGAGAGCTGTTGGAGAATATTATTATTAGAGGAAATGTTTGAGTTCATGGTTTAAATAGAACTATTTCAAGAGGAAAACAGTTTGATAAAAGCATGAGATGCCTTTCAAATTAGAGGAATTAGCTGAATAAAAAAATAGTTTTTTTTGGTAAATACATAAGTTTTTTTTTTAGTAAAAAACAAGCAAAATAATCCAAATGACCTACTGTAAATGTCATTCAAAATAATATACCATTGGTAAACAGAACATATAGGCAGAACTGGCACTGGCAGAGAAGCCAATTTTAATGTCACATGTTTTTGCATATGGTGAAATTATTAGGAAACAAATTGTAGATCAAATTGTAGACCATATTGTAAAGTAAAATAAAGAAACCATAAAAACTAAACTAGTACCATATTGGCTGATGGTGGTAGCATTTTATTTCCTAAGTCATTTGGATGTGTCCTTTTAATTCCTGTTTGTTTCTTCCATTTTTAAATGGTGTCATGTGTTATACTCAGCAGTATGTTTCATAAAATATGTTACATGATTTTTTTTTTTTTTTAAATCGAGGTGTTCAATATTTTTCAATTCCATACTGAATCATACCATCAGCAATATATATGTCCTCATTATTGACAGCGAACTAAATACTAATTATTGTTGTTGTAACATTTTCTATTAGGTTTAGGTATATATTAACTGCGTTTGTTGTACAAATTTCCCAAAGGTCATTGTATGAGCTTGTTCATTGTGACTTTTATTAGATTACATCAGCGGAAGTGATTATGAAGAAATACATAATAATGGGAAAGTGCAGATAAATTTTTATGATATTATCATTTATGAATCGCGCATATTATGTGTAGAATACATAAGAATCAATCATCTTGAGACTTCAGATAAGGTTTGCTTTACAATATTATGATATGTAAAATGTCCCACTTATGGAGGTGTTTTTTTACAGGTGTTCTACCCGATATGTTTTACTGTGTGTTTGTCTCTTGATGTGATAAATAAGGTCCAGTTTCCAAACATTGTATGATTTGCATGTCAGTTGTCCATTTTGCAATTATTCCATAAATCTGAGAACAATTGAGACACCTACTTGAGACACCTATTTTAATATAGGCCTGCACCCACCTGAGAATCCATTTGCATTGCACCCATTTGAAAATGAGATAAATCATGAAATATGGTCATATTTTGACCAAATGTATAAATAGTGAAATTAAGAATGTACCCATTTGAGAAAACTGCATCTATTCCTCTCTTTTTAGAAGCAAAATTGAACTACATGTATTAAAAGTGTGGTCTCTTCATGTCCATCATACCTAATACTCCATCTTTTCTTACAGTTTAATGAAGGACCATGTTAAATGTGTTGGCCATTTATGAGTCCTGTTATCTTTGAATACATACACAGGATTCTGTGAGAAAAAGGAGGTCCCATAAACATAAGATAAACAAAGTGTCCTATCATATAAACTTTAGGGAGCCAGGAATTTGGCCTCAGGTTTCTAGGCTTTGATCTGGAAACGCGGAACAAATTATTTACTTTTCTGACACTGGGCAATGATTTTTAAGCATGGCATTATACTTAGTATTTGTGTCTTCTTTCATCCGTTCCTGTTTGCCTTTAGTTTGGCCATAAGGATGTTTAAGATGGAGTAATTATTAATGTTAAGAAAAATGGTGTCGTTCCAGGACAGTACATGTATTTGAAAATCTTACTAACGGTTTTTTTTCTACTTGATTCTCATTCATTATATCAATTCTCACAGTGTTGGTTAAGTGTAAGCCATCCATCACATGCTTATCATGTTGTTAGATTTACACAGGGATAGACCTTACAACCTCAGCTTTACTGGCTTACTATTAGGCATAGTGTCAAAGATAAAAAATAACATAGTTGGGGTACAGATTTTTCTCATCTGATTTGACCTACTTCACACTTCCCATTAGGAATTGGAGGTTCATTGAAGGCCTAGTCAAGTTGCCAGTTACTCTTTTACAGTGGACTTAGAAACACTGGTTCAAAATACCCTCTCCAAAAGTTCTTTTTAAGAACGTTTTGAAATTCTTTCCATATATTTTGGGATATATAGGGTTTGTTTTCTTATGACTTGGTAACATTTGCTAGTTTCTTTTCAACTTTTGGTTAGATATTCATTTACATAGTTACATTACTTATAGACTCTGTATCTTTACCAATATTGGTAAATAGACTGTGGCAATCGTGTTTCTTACCTTTGTAACTTTCAGAGCTCTTGATGTAATCATGGTTGGAGATCATTACCGTATCTAAATTCCTTTCAAGAAGACTTATTGCAAGGCTTGGGCAATGCTATTCAAGATCAAGAAGATGAAGATGTTCATATTTCAAGTTTACGATGTGATATTAATAAAACAGAGATCCAGATTTAGACACACATTGACTGTATAGTATAACTGGGTTAATTTGATGTTCACTTATTTGGCACTATTTTGATTTTTGACATTTGGTAGCCATTCAATTTGGTTCATTAGGTTATCAAAATTTCTAGTTTCCCCAACTTTTGAAGCGAAAACTACGTCTGTCCACTGGAAGATGAACCGCATATAAGTAATGCCTCGGCCACTTTTCATCTACAGCAACTGTATGGCGGCCGTAGCTTCCCAAAATTGGGAGAAATATGCAGCATGAAATATAGGGATAAGCATGAAGATCAGAGAATATCACTAAGTAATTTCAAAAGTGGTAGAAATAAAGACTCCAGTGCCCAGGCCCAGTCAAGTTACTCAAATAAAGAACATCTTGACTTGACTACTAGAAAATATTACACATGTTCAAAAATAAGGTGGTAAGTTTAGTATATAAGTGAACAATGTTGATCTATTTTGGTTTCATCTTAAATGCATTTACCACACCTCCAGCCTCATTTCATAGATAATATTTGTCAAAAGGAAAGGTACACAATGTATATATTGAGGTTCCTTATATGTGTATGCACCTGTGCAAGGTCATCTATTCTTGTTGAGCCTTGATATTTCTTCTTTATCAATGCAAAGTCATTATTAAAGCGAATTAAGAATGGATTGTCTCCTTCCAATGTTAGCGTGCAAAGAATTTTTCTTAAATTCTGTCCAACAGTCCAAATTTAGAGAACAAAAAATTTAATATGCGTTGCATTTTCATCTATTTTTAGCAAGAAACAGATAATAAATTGGTGTACAACAGCTTCAATTAAATGGAACTTCATTCTTTCAATTGTTACTGACATCTTCACTAAACATCCTCACCTCTATCTAATATTATAAAACTTAACAAGGATATTCCTACATGTTAAAACACAAACCGCCAACACCAAACCTCATAAACCTAAAGAAACCAAATACCATATACCACCTTATGTACTGAAAGCACTTATATTTTATGTCATCAATTTGTTTTTTATATTTCCAAGAAATGCATCTGATCATGTGTCCAAAGCATGAGTTACCATTGAAATATTAGATGTGGTAGCCTTTGCACTGACTGAGTCCTAGTATGTGTTATTAAGTGCATGTGGCAAATAGAGAATTAACACAAAACAATAAAGGAAGGTTGGCAGATTATATTACTCCATCCTTACGAAAATAGTAACATTTCCTCAAAAATTTAAATTCTGCCAAAACATTTCTGAAGTTCATCATTTTGTGAATAGATCACAAAATTTGTGTTATCAGCACTGTTGCATCGTAGCAATCCTTTATTTAATTAAAATAAAAGGATGAAGAGTTGACATATCATATTAGTATCAATATTTCTCATTTTTGGACCATTCTATAGACAGACTCTTCTAGCTTTTTTAGGAAGCAAAACCAAACTGCTGGACGTATATTGAGACTAGTTTAGGCCCCATGTTTCTTCAAAAGTTCCCAGAAATACAAAGGGTATGTGTAGACTAAAAATCCCATTTAGAAAATAATTATTAGAAAATTAATTTTTTATGATATAATATTTATGATGGACAGCAAGGATGAATTATCATCCTTGGTAATTTTAAAAAAATTCACTTTTTCGAAAAAATCATTTTCCCAAAACGGATGATATCAATATTTCCCTCGGTCACTGCATTCCTTCGGGAAATATTGATGTCATTCTTGTGATATTCCTCATATCAAATCCCTCCTGGTGAATAACTTCTTTATATATATTATAGATTCAAACAAGTGAATAGATTTTTAAAACGCGCTTGTTCAAACTGTTTATTGGTTAATATCAAGAAATTGCTTCAAAGTAATAGAGCAGTAGAGAAGTCATGGCAAGATATATCAGATTAATAATATAATTTATGGTATGGCCATTAGGTGCAGGATTCATTGCTTTGAATTGTCATTTCAAGTATATGGTTTATATTATTTACAAAGCATGGTTTATTGTTTTAAACCATTTATGATCTTTTTAGAAAGAAGACAGCCTTGGCTTGCTATATAGTTTTTTTATACTGATTTATGTCATTGAACAAAAATCAACAGTGAATAGGAACATTGTTCTATGTATAAATTGACCATGAGTTAACTATTTTAGTAATGTTGACAATCTACAGATTTTCACCTTAAAATTGCCTATAAATTGTCAAATGGCCTATTGAGCAGCAATAACCAGAAAGTTTGATTCATTCCCCTCGCATAGACTGCTTTCCCTTAGTAACACATAGAACATTGGAAAACTCTGATAAGGAGAATGAAAAATGGAAAAACAGAGACATTCAAGGGTACTTTGGCCTGCTACTCTTATTATAGGACATTAATGAGGTCATTCCAAGGTAAACAGTGCTCTGTACCCAAGTTACCATTTGAACTATTGAAC